TTAAACTAATAACTGTTCTTTGGTCGGAATAAAATAAAATATTTGGGGAAAGCGCAGCCTTTTTACTATTTGACGGAGGTGACTGGTGAGAGTAATCGGAGTAATGCCCCATTAAGTAAATTTCACCATTATCCAGCCACCTGGATAAAGTTAGAAGAGCTGCAGCTTTCAGGATTATAAAAATAGCCGCACCTGATCAATTTAAAAAGAAAATTATAAGAATTAATTACTGACGGAGACATGCACCACATCGTGTTTAATTGTATGAATCTATAACTCTAATCCGGTATTAAATTTGTGTTATTTTTTCGTTTTCGTTCATCAACTTTTAGTTCATCATTCCCACTTTGAAATTAAACAAATGAAAACTGACACATGAAAGCAAAAGCAAGGAAAAAATAGATCAGCAAAAGCCCAAAGAACCAAAAAGGGAGCCAAATAAAAAATAGGAACACAACGAAAACTCACAAATTCCCAAGATCTAAACTAAAGAAAACAAACCGAAGGGAAAGCAAAAGCCAAAGAAAGAACGAGACACCAAAGGCGAATTACCTCTAGAGGGATCACACCTCTCTAATATCATTTAACAAATTAAAGGACAGAAAGAAGAAACACTAATTACAAACTCTGATTTTTGTTACATATATAAGACATGAAATAAAGAAGAACGTTATAAATATACTAAGATAATTACATACATAATAGAAGGACAACATCTTGTTAGAATTTTACAAAGGTGTATTTATAAAGATCTAAATATGAAACAAATGGAAAAACAGTTAAAAAAAAAAGGAAAATAATCCTAAACCCGAGTATATTATAGGAAAGCGGTCTTTATCTTGCTAAAAAACCATAATAGATAAAATACCAAAAATACCTTAACATAAAAATAAATTCAATTACTAACTTGCTACTTTTTTAAACAGTTACCTTTAACCAGCAACCTCACGAAATTATAAGAATAGCTGCTGGTTTCAGGTTTCACAACTGATCGAGATATGCATCACATCGTGTTAATTTGTGCACCCAAATTAGGATAAGTATATTAGTCTAATCCCGAATTAATTTGTGTTGTTTTACTTTCGTTTTAATTCTTCAATTTTAGTTAACTTTTCCCACTTTGGTGGTGATGTTGATGGGAGTGTTTGGGCAAAGATTTATCTGAAGAAGGTCCTTGGACCTCAGCACAGCTCCCCAAAGAATTGGCACTTTGGACGTGTATATTTGGTAATCAGGCTCTTGATTGCCTTGTGTGCTGCAATAAGAGCTTGAAGTTAGTTCTGAATGGTGCCTTTGTGGGGCCTTAGGTGTAGGCCTTGAGACTTGCAATGAAAACTAACTAAATGCTTAGGCGTGCCACTGCTATCTCAGTATAGCAGATGTAGAACAAGTGTGTTTCAAGTCGATTACTTGCGCCCCAAGTTACTCAAACTTCTTGTTATCAAAGGATTGTCACAGATGGGTTAAGTCTATATTAAGTTCTTTTTCTTGCGTTGTAAACAAGGACTTTTAGTTCATGATGTATGTTTGAATGGAGGGAGTCCAGAGCCCCTTAAGCCATTTATTTGTTTCCAAATTGCTCTTAATGAAAACATATCCATTAAGTTAACCAGATCCATATGCAAATGGAACTGTTAAAATAGGAAAACAGGTGGAAATAACTTGAATACATGCTGGAGAATGCATTAAGTAATAGATCTACTAATTCAAAGAACAAACAAAGAGATTCGGGCAAGATTTCACCTTGTCTGGTAAGGTTGAACTTCTTGTAGCCACTTCTCTTTAAGTTTACAGGGTTTGTATGCTAAAAGGGATGGATGGTAAACAGGTTTACACAAGGGAATCGATACTACAACACTAAGGGAGGTAGCATAGCTTTTATACTAGACAAAAGATAGCTTTTATTAGGAAACTATTGCTAAAGAGACTGAATCTGAGTTGATTTCAAGCTTGAAGAGTATGAACTGGCTTGAGAGCAGAGTTTGTATGCTTGTTTGTTTGATTGGTTAAGTGTCCTTGACTTTGTTGTCTCCTTTTGCTTTTATAGGCGATTTGGCCCGAGGGTTGGGGCATTGCTCTTGCCCGAAAGCTCTTGGAGAGTAGTGAGTCATCAGCTTTTTTACTTATAATGCCACTGGAAAGTGTTTTTTGGTTGATAGTAGGTTAGTCTCAATCACTTGTCACCTCAGTTATAGATACGTGGCTTGTGTCTTGGCTGAGAAGGTTTCAGTTTGCTCCTGGGCTTGATGCTGGTGCTTCGGGCAAGTCTTCCTTTAATTTGACATCCTTGGGCTTTCCTTCATTCAAACCCAATATTCAAATATTAACCCAAACAGGGAGAGCGGGAAGAGTAAACTAGTGACAACATTAGTGAGAAGCGTGCAACTGCTAATTTGACTTGCTTCTCCATAACCATGCTGACATTTAGATTATTCCAGTAATTAGTTAAGCATATTACCCTGCTTCATTAATTTGGATTAACAAATCCTTTTACTGGAAATCAAACGAGAGAATGTCTTAATGTTGTTAAATCAGATATACACACACTTTCAATAATTAATTGATAACACCCCTAATATAATTAAATTTTATTATCCCTAATGAGAATATGTATTGGTACTTAAAGTTGAAATAAGCGGTGACAATTAAACTGGTGGCAGCAATCTGCTTTTGTTGTCCCATCTCTATATGCTAATTGCTTTTGAAAGGAACCTTACTATAGTAGTATACTGTGACTAGGGATCGGATAGACAAAAGGAATCCATATTACAGATAGCCGTTTTGTCAATATATTTTACGTTCTTCACTTTAAATTGAGCATTTTACAATCCTTTTGCATTTACTGAAGTAATTTAAAACACTAAACAATGAGTGCTAAAATCACTAGCTTAAATATATAATTGAGGTCATTCTCTTGATCGATCTGATTCGAACATACAAGGCACGATGAGCTCGGTACCTTAATTAATTAGGGAGATGACCTAACAAAATAGTCAGCTAATTAAAATTTGCAAAAGCAATCCTCGTTTACTATATATTATCAATATGGTCTTTGTCGTCCCATTATAATTCATTAATCATCTTAAGATGTAAGCATCAATAACGTCCATTAGCACCAAAGATAAGTATTGCGGTTTGTTTTTTGAGGAAATAAAAGGCACAATATTTTGTTTTTTCGGTGTTCAGACTATAAACTAATGGGGCAATACTACCCACTCTAACTTTATAAGAGGACTTTTAACTTTGGAAGAGAATGTGCATATGTCATTTAATTTTTTAATTTATGTATTCTAATATAATTATATATATTTTTAAGTATTAATAAAGATTTATTTATATATTATATAATAAATTTAATTAAAATTAGAAGTCGCCTAGATGTCGCCCACACGCCTAAACGTTAGGTCTCTACTTGCTGCCCGTCAATGACCTTTTAGAACCTTGAATGAGACTACAATAGCCTTTATGATAGTAATTTGATAAATTTTTTCATTAGTATTATCATGTCAAATTGTGCGAAAAGCCCCATTTTAAGTTTCACACACTGCTCTTAAAATCTCAAAATGGGTCTGCATGCATGGCTTTATTTTCTTTTTCGTTATTCTTTTGTTCTTAGAAGTTTGAAATGACGAGTTATGGGCCCAAAACAGGCACTAGAGTCCAAACATACAAAACATTCATTCCTGCTACCAGATTTGCGCCTTTATTTTTTCAATCTATTCCACTCATTAATCTACATCAAAGCGCTAGTTGCTTCGATGAGCCATACATACTTTTAAGTTTATTTACCAAACTTAATCACAAAAGTGTTTTTTAATTGTTATAAAACTATTTTAGCTCTCCTACAAACAATCTCAAATATTACATAAAAGCGTTTTCAAGAAATTAAAAGGGTTTGTAACATTATGGAGAAGCCTGAAATGTACTATTCTTCTTTGTCAGTAATTTCATGATGGGTAGCACTTTCTTTTAAGAATAGATCTGATTCCATCTTTCTTTCATTAGTTAACCCACTTTTTTTCTAATGGGAGTTGTAGAATTTTAGTATTACATTATTTGGAATGGATCTCTCATATGGAGAGATTCTTTGCAATGACATTCAATCATAGAATTCATACACAGCTGCATGAATGACGAGAATTTGTCTTTCAATCGGAAGTGGTGCATATATACGTTGTTTTTTTAAGCCTCACACCTCTATTGCATATATGCCTGAGTCTCTTCAAAACACTGTTAAGTGCAACTCATTTCTATAAAAATATAAATGTACCTTTAACAAAACGAGCTTCAAACAAAATTAGAACGATTATGAGCATAATTAATTCCTACCAACACACTCAACAAACAATAAAACTGCTGTTCATAAAACTTAATTATATATAAGGCCATTCATCTCCATTCAACCATGTACTAAAATAATATACAAGAACAAGTATATATCATATATGTGTGATGGGTGTGGAACTGTGTGGATCGATGCATGTACAAATATTCAAGCATTATATAACAAGTTGCCCACGTGGGTGCGTGACAACATGATGTTTTTATACAAGAACTTGTTGGTTTTAAGATTTTCTAAACATCGAATAATAATCTGTACCCTCTGAAGCCTCAAATAGTGCAAGGTTGTCATTTGTATTTTAGCCATCGGCTCAAAACCCTAATTTCAAATCTGTGTAGTGATGTTTCCTTTCCTCCGGTCAAGCGCCGTACCAGCGGAACTCAAGCAACTGGCTGGCCGGCGAAAAGATCTAATAGGCTAGACGTAAAATATATAGGACAAAATAGAGTGCACTTCTCAAATTTCAAATTTGTTACATGTTATTACCTTCACTCACTTTAATCTGAAAATTTACCTATAATGTGTTATTGTAGCACAATAAGTCAATCACACATGGTTACACATCCTAACTTTCTCAAATGACAATACCTGATTGGCTTGTGAGAGGCAACTGGTGTGACTCAAATATGGGCTTGCTAAGATCTAGTACACAAGTATATACCAGAAGATGTATATATTTTCAAAGAGAAAGATGAGACCTGAATATATAGCTAGCTTAGCTAGAATTTATAAATATATATATATATATAGCATCAATCAGGAGTTGTGCAATTGGTGCAGTTGCAAGTCTTGGGGACAAAACCGCAAACTCCAAAGGGTTTGTTGGGGAGTTGGCAGTTGATGCCGAAGCAGCAAGGCATGAAGATGCAGGTTGTGGCTGAACAGCACTTGCACTGCAAGCATAGCTGATACGGCGCTAGCCGCCGCCTTTGTGTATCGTGATGAGTTTTAGTCACGCCATCGATCAATAGCTTATACTCCGTCGAACAGGCGGGATGAAATGTTTCCGTTGTTGTTGATTGGTTTAGGTTTGGCTCATACGTCTCTACTGCATGATAAAAAGAGTAATTATATATGCGATTGTATATAAATCAAGCTTAAGTATTTGTTGCAGAAATTCAAATATATAATTAGTTAACTTACCAGTTGCTGATGCAGGGTTAACGGTTAATAGCAGCCCCATGATGAAGATTAAGAAAACCACCAACTTTATGGTGTTACTGTTCGTGGCGTCGTCCATGTCTGGTAGCTAGCCAAGCAAACACACCAGAGAGAGAGAGAGAGAGATGATTGGAGAATGAAACTTTGTGTGTGGTGGGAAGGAGTGGAGGAAGAGATTTGTTGGAGGGAAGTGGAACAATGAGAGTGGATATATTTTTTTAATTTTCTTTGGTTCTTAGACTTTTCCTATGTATATATAGTGGAAGTTTTATGAAAATGGTCGACAGTGATGGAATCTGGGGTTACTTGGGTGTATATGTTAATCGTGGTGAAGATTTGACTCAATTTTTTGTCGGTTGGCAACAAAGAGAAGTTTTTATTAGAGAAGAAATTTAAGGTTGCTGTTATTTAACTTTTAAAGAACACATATGAAACAAGTAAACTTAAAGATAGGAAGATATAAAATAAGGAAACTATAGGTCCAGTTTCCTTCTTATTAAGCAATGTTCTTACTTCTCTTGTATACAAATTTGAATTCTTTTTTTTGTTCGAGAAATTTTATGTGTAGTTAAAATACGACTATGTGACTTACTATTCTACTTAATTTATAACACATGAATTTGTTTTATTTGTTAATATACGTACACTAGAAGTAAGACATATCAACCTTGTCATTCATTCTAATTATAATACGTGAAATAATACATTACACAATGACGGAGCTATTATAGGCCCCCACTCAAATTTTTTTGTAGGAAAAAAAAATCTGCATATAGTACTACAAGGCTAAGTAATACAACACACTTAAATGAAATAACATAATCTTGTTAATATTGACAACACCCTACTCAGGATTAATGATTACCCATACACAGACCCGAAATAAATTATAGAGTTGTGAAATCAGATGGGAGATCAAAATGAATGATAAAATGGTTATAAACAGAGGTGGTATTTGATGATACTGATGGGTTGTCTTCGTTAGTCTCGACTAACGAGTAGTACAAATATTTAACCATATTTGTTAATGTTAATGTTACTTTATGGTTTGGAGTTGCCCTATTGAACATAATTTTAATTTTAATGGTAGTTTATGGTTTGGAGATGCCATATTCAACATAATTTCTGGCTTCCTCCCTGACTTGTATTCCTAATACTTACAAAAAATTCCCTTCTCATTAATTATATATAATAGTTTAGACTAGCTCTTGATTTACTGTCATTGTTTATGTGAAAACACGTTCCAAGGTCCCTCCTTCCTTCGATGTGAGATTCATGCTCAACAACGATAATATATATAACGAGCAAATTCTGTCATTGCAAAAAAGGTTGGGGGATAATTCATACAAAGCACATACAAGTATACAATACAGATGACATTCTCATCTAACTCTGCACGCTGCAGGACCTCCTGGCGATAAATTTGGGTTGGGAGATCGACAAACAACACCCGGACGTACGTTGTTAGAAAACCTGTGATGCGTTCGGTACTCAGGGATTCTGGTCATGGCAAATGGACCGCCAGTTGAGTCGCTTGCTTCATTGCAACTTTGTAGAGGTTCCAAAGTTTCAACTACATCACTCATTAAGGGCCTTGCTTTGGGGTTTTGGCTGAGACAGTAGTATGCCAAGCTGCAGGCCTTCTGTGCTGCTCTGACCGAGTACTGATTCTCCAACCTAGGGTCGATTATTTGTAGCAACTTTCTCTTGTCGTTCAGTTTTGGCCGCGCCCAATCTACCAGGTTCTGCTCCTTGCTTGGTCTCGTCTTGTCAACAGATCTTCTTCCTGTCAAAAGCTCAAGGAGAACAACTCCAAAGCTGTATACGTCACTCCGGGCAGTTAGGTGGCCTGCTCATTTCATATGGATTTCAGAAAAGCAGCACATAAGCATGTACAAAACATGCAAATTAATACCCTTACATTATGTGAACAAGAAAACTAAACACATGGACAACTAATGTCGGCATTTCTTCATCCGCTCATAGATACAATTTTGAAGTGAAAAAGGGACCACGGAAATACTTTTAATCAGCAAGTTACAGAGAAGAAATAACAGGGTAAGTGGACATAACAAAACTCTCGAGTCAGATCAACAGGTTCCTCATCACTTCAATAGTAAACTGCATATGAATTGGTTAATCACAGTGAGAGCTCTAATCTTAGATCAACCAGGTCAGAATTGATTACTGATGCGTATTTGTACCTTAAGGTTTGGGATTCCTACCTAAACAAAAAATGACGATATTTCTGCAGCTCATACATTGTTATCTTTTTAATGAAATTTTAGCAGTTATAAAAAGATTTGAACAGAAAGTGGATTGAAGCTGACAAGAATCCACGAATTTAAGTACAGCTCTAAGCATTTATGAAAAGATCTGGCCAGAAATTGCAATAGAGCTGCCAACAATTACGAAATCAATTTCAGTTGCTAAAGAAGCCAAGTTTTTATGAAAAGATCTCAACAGACAGTGCAGTGGAGCCAAGCATTCAGTACTACGTAAAATCAGGATTTATCACAACCTCTTATGTTTATCACAAGAAGAGAGAATCTCTAGATCTCCCCTTCCAAGAACATGCTTTGGAAGTGCCTAACCAGGTGCGGCCTGCCCTTTAAAAACCAATGAATCTAAATTCTGACTCTTTCTTTCACCAGTGAAGGACAAAAGTCAAAAGAAACAGCTTCCATAGCAAGCACAGTGTTTCTAACATGGTATTACCACTGGTGATACCAATCATCCCAAGTTGGCAGTTTTTTTCTGAAGCAATCAGAATTTAGAGTTACTAGAACTAAATGTTGTTCATCTTTACCTGAGAAGAATCAAGACCCTTTCCCGCTCAACTAATTCAATCAAAACCATCCATATTCATCATGTTCCAACTACTACATTAACTAATTCAAGAATTTCGAACATGTAAGAACGCGACATACCAGTCATTACATACTCCGGGGCTGCATATCCATAGGTACCCATAACGCGAGTAGATACATGAGTCTCATCCCCTTGAGGTCCAGCTTTAGCAAGCCCGAAATCCGAAAGCTTGGTAGCATAATCCTGCAACATGCAATCAGTGAGACTAATCATTAACACTTAATTTTCTTGTGCAGAAAGAATCTTAAAACTCAAGAAACACAACTTACAGAGTCCAGCAAGATATTCGAAGTCTTGAAATCTCGATAAATCACAGGCCTTTCGGCATTGTGAAGAAAAGCAAGCCCCTTGGCAGCTCCCAGAGCAATCATCATCCTCGTCCCCCACAACAATGGGACAGTTGCCTCTAAAAATGTTCACAAAACCCCTAATTAGCAACACCAAATCACCAAAACCCAACACACAAAACCTGAAAAATCGAAAGACGAAGAGCTCAATTACTCCGGAAAAGATGATTCTCGAGGCTCCCTCGGAACATGAACTCGTAAACCAGCAATCTGTGATCGTCCTCGCAGCAGTATCCAATCAATTTCACAAGATTGGGGTGACGGAGCTGGCCGAGGAAGTTGACCTCCGTCAGCCACTCGCGGTGGCCCTGGAAGCCCTCCTTGTTGAGGACCTTGACGGCGACAGGCAGAGATTTCAACCCGACCCGAACGTTCTCGTCAATGTAGCCCTTGTACACCGTCCCGAAGCCGCCTTCCCCCAAAATGTAGTCGGAGCGGAAGCTCTTAGTAATGGTCTCGAGCTCGAAGAGCGTGAAGGCGATGACGTGCGTGTACAGTACCGCATTCTTCCGCGCGTCCTCGAAGTTGCGTGGCGTCGAAGGATCGATCAGATCTGAAATCGAACGGCTGTGATTCTGCTTCCTCTCGCCGCCGCCGTTCTTCACCAGAGTGCTCAGCTGCTGAACTGCTCAGTCAAAAAAAGCCATAAGTCAAACCCCATAAGCCAAAAGCTGAAAAATCATAAAATCCCAAGATTTAAGCAGAAAGATCTGGACTTTTGAAGTTATCTGGAGCTAGCAAAGCACCAACCTTGAGCATTGGTCACCACAGCTGATTCTTCCCTCGTGCCGCAGTTCCCCATCTTGACTTAATTTGACCGTTACAAGTAGCAGAAAAAGCACTTCCAGCAGAAGCAGTAAGTAAAAGCAGAAGTTGCTGAGGATGATGAAGTTGTTGTGCTTCTCCGACTCTGCTGGTGGTGCAGAGTCTCATTCTTCAACGGCTTTCGCTTTTCTCCTCCTCCCCTCACCTGCTAATTACTTACTAATACTAATTAACTACTGTAATTAGTAAGTAATCACTATTTTTTAACCGACAAAGCAAATTATGGGGTTTTAATCAGAAAATTACAGGGCCAAGAGGGTAAAGAAACTATGGGTTCCTTCTGCAAGTCCCAGTGGCGGTTGAAGGTGCAAGCTTTAAAATCTGGGTTCTCCTTACGCTCTGTGACGGGAGAAGCTTTGATGGTGATTGACCTATGGCTCTGGATCTCCTCTCTCTCTCTCTCTCTCTCTCTCTCTTCCTCTCTCCCTGTTTCTCTCTCTCTCTCTCTCTCTCTCTCTCTTCGCTGTTACAGTTTGTGGGGACCACTTTTGGTTTTAATTGCTTTCTTTCCAATTATGTCTAACAGACAGATTCCGTTTTGTTGCCAATTGGGGCAAAAGCTCGAAAGGCCCAAGTTGAAGAACTGAAGGGCTACAAGAGAAGCCTTGTCCAATAATTCTTTGTCCCCCAAGTTGTGAGGAATTAATTCTAGTTATATCTTCTTCGTTATAATCAATATCATTCATTTTTTTTTTTCAAATCGTGTTTTTTCATCATAGTTTATATATTATTTTACAAAAATTTAATAAAATTAGGTATGTTTAATCATTTATATGTATTGAATAAGTGAACGGTCTATCAAGAAGATCTTAATTATTACCAAATTGTTGCTTGTTTGATACAGATTGATAACTTCAAGGTCTCTAATTTAAGTAATTTCCTTTTCTAAAGAGGATACGTGCTACCACATTATCACTACCCTAAAGCCCACTCTCCCATCCCTTAAAATAGATAATATTGTTTGTTAAAAAAAAAAAAAAAAAAAAAGAAGATGATATATGCTGCTTTTGTTGGAAAAAAAATATATATTCATAAGCTCTATTTTTAGAATTTATTTTATGGTAAACACGTTAAACTTTTTCTTTTATAAAATCAAGTGTTACACATTGAAAAAATATTTGGAAGTATTTCTATATGGAAAGTGCTTTTCCAAAATGCGATTCTATGAACTATAAACGCTTCCAAATTTTTACGTTCAACATGGTAATAAGGTTTTAATTATCAGATAACGCTTTTAGTACTTGCCGAAGCAATTTTAAGGACACACACTTCCTTAATCACTAATTGGGGCAAAAGTTCAAAAAGGCCCAAATTGAAGGACTGAATTTGGGCCCTCAGGCCTGCCCACTAACCCAGAAGGCGTTATCCAGATAAGGAGTGACAAAACAGGAAGAACAGAACCAGAGATATTGTTGTATGGTTTTGCAATGGCGACGACAATGGCATTGGCAACGGCTACCGGAGTAGCAGAAACCAGCAGATGGAGCATGGCGTCTCTGAAGGCGGCGTTGCCACCCCCGCCCGAGAGGTTCACCGTTCCTACCGCTTCTTCTTCTTCTTCGGCAACGTGCGGCCATCGGAGCCTGCGCCTCAGCGTCGGACTCCGCAAACCCGAGCTCCAATTCGGGTCTTTCTCGGGTCTCTCTCCCCTGAACCCGCTCCTCTCCCTCGGCCTCTCCGGTACCACTCTCTTCTCCGTCACTTCCGTTTCCTTTTGTTGCTGAATTTTCTGTTTTTATCAATGGTGGCAACTGGGTTCGTATTCTCGAGTGCAATTATCTATCTTTCTGCATTACTTCAGATCAATGTGGTATCTTTCTGCATTATCCTCTTCAATTTTGGTATATTTGTGGATTATTTTAGTTCCATTTCGTATATTTGTGCATTATTTTAGTTCAATCGAGTATTTTTGTGCATTATTTAGCTCAATTGTTTAACTTTGAATGTTTTCAGTTTTCATTTCCTTCAGCAAACAGTTTAATTGTATCCGCGGCAACGTTGTTTATACTTCCTCCAAAGTAACTCTAGTTTTCAAAATTCATTTGTGTTGAGTTCCGATTTCGGAATGTAGTTCAAATTGTTTGGGGACTTTTACATTGGGAATTTATGTATCTTTGTTCATTGTTTCAGCTCACACTGTGGTATCTATGTGCATTAGTTATGTTCAATTTGGTATCTTCGTGCATTGGTTCTGTTCAGTTTGGTATCTTTGTGCATTATTTCAGCTCAATTTCATATCTTTGTTCAGTTCAGTCTTGTATCTTTGTATGTTTTCCTTCTCTTCACAGTACTTCAATTGCGCTGTAGCAACACATTTTTTATTTCTAAGGCCTCATTGATAGTCATTTACTTTTCTTGTGCTAGATATAGAGAGAAAGTGTGTGAAAATGACGAATTGAGAAGTATGAAGGGAGGCGGTAGGAGTGAGGAGGGAAAACAACTTAAAATTTTGGTATTCAGTCTTCAATTTTTGTTTCATTCCATACACATTGTTCCTTTACCCTTCTTCACTCCTCCTTTCTTCCACATATTGTTCCTCTATCTGTAGCACAAAAATGAAAAGTAGAAACAAAAATGAAATGGTTTTCAAACGGGGCCCTAAGTGACTTTTGGTGTTCATTTTCAACTTGGTGTTCAGCTTCTATGTCAACGATGTAGTTCGGGTGGTTTTGGGACTTCCGAAACGGGAAATCCATGCTGCATTGCATTGTAGATTTTGTTTATCTTACTTTCATCCAGAGGTTATTTACTGTCACGTTTATGTTTAGATGGTTTTGGGACTTCCAAAACGAGAAATCCGTACTGCATTACATTGTGGATTTTGTATCTTACTTTCATCCAGAGGTTATTTACTGTCACGTTTCTGTTTAGATATGTTTAGATGGTTTTGGTACTTCCGAAACAGGAAATCCATACTGTATTGCATTGTAGATTTTGTTTATCTTACTTTCATCCAGAGGTCATTTACTGTCACGATTCTGTTTAGATATATTGAGATGGTTTTGGGACTTCCGAAACGGGAAATCCATACTGCATTACATTGTGGATTTTGTATCTTAGTTTCAACCGGAGGTTATTTAATGTCACGCTTCTGTTTAGATATGTTTAGATGGTTTCGGGACTTCTGAAGTGGGAAATCCATACTGCATTGCATTGTGGATTTTGTTTATCTTACTGTCACTCCAGAGATTATTTACTGTCAAGTTTCTGTTTAGATGGTTTTGGGACTTCTGAAACGTGAAATCCACTCTGCATTGCGTTGTGGATTTTGTTTGTCTTACTTTCATTAGATTGTTTACTGTCACGTTTCTGTATAGATATGTTTTCTGTCAGTTGGTGTCTATTGGCAGGACCCACAAATGCTTTTTTCTGTCTTGCAGAGTCCATGAGTTTTGAACACAACTTCACCATCATTGATAATGGTGGTCGTATTTCTGCCATGAGACATGGCAGGAAAGTTCCTAAGCTCAACAGGCCTCCTGACCAGAGGAAAGCACTTCTTCGAGGCCTCACAACTCAGCTCCTTAAACACGGACGCATCAAAACTACCCGAGCAAGGGCAAGTGCTATGAGGAAGTACGTGGACAAGATGATCACACTGGCCAAGGATGGATCTCTCCATAAGAGGAGACAAGCGCTGGGATACATCTACGAGAAACAGATTGTCCATGCTTTGTTTGCAGAGGTACCTGACAGATATGGGGAGCGGAATGGTGGCTATACAAGAATCATCAGAACTCTGCCAAGGCGAGGGGACAATGCACCCATGGCATACATTGAACTCGTGTAGGTCTGTAATTCATTTCAATTTTGAATTTGTGTAGGTCCGAGCGTTTTTTTACATCTTCCTGGAATTTTATGAAATATCTAACGGCATTAGTTCTTATGGAAGCATGCATTTCCAGCCTATGTTTAAGCTCATTCTCGCGTTTTGCCTTAAATCTTTACATCTGTAGACTGTGGTTCATCGATAGGTCAGTTAATTCATATTTATAGGTCGTTGGCGCAATCTGATATGTTTTTCGTGTGTTTATTTTTCCTCATGCTTACTTCCTTTGATCTTACCTCTGCTGTGTTAGTGCTCTTATGTAAAACTTACCCCGTTATATGGATCCTTGGGGTTGATTTTGTATGTGTATTAGCATTTCAATGTTTGTAAATTATCCCATCAGTGTCCTATAAAGCTATCAATTATCCATCTCGAGATGGTTTTTCCCTTCATGTATCACTCGGCACTTTGCAGTGTAGAGTACGCCAAAAGTTATAACTTTGGGTGCGTAAAATTCAAAGGGAACGTGAATATAACATGTAATAAAAAGGTGAATTGTTATTGACACTCTTTAGTTTATAAAAAGCTAAACAGAAAATTTATTTAAGGAGGAGTTCCAATGACATTTTCGGAGCCTTAGCCTCGTGCTACTTTCTCAAGAAAAAAGAAATTCTTCGGACTTCCTTCTTCTTCAAGAGTGTTTCCACAATCCGTTTGAAAGTTTTACATTTCCAGTAATGTTCTTCTGGTTGGATAACATTTTTCTTGAAGGTCCATTCAACTCGCCAGATTCCGAATAAATACCGGACACGATGTGTTCTTGGTCAATCACATTGCCATAGTGTTCGAGGGCAATTAAGCTCCGAGTACAACTGTGAATACTAGGGTTACTCGCCACCACCGGGTCCCTCGGAAATAACATTGGATATGTCGCATGCTTTATGGAATGATATCTTACGTCGAAAAACAATGCACTGCCGTCAGAATCCAAGAAAAAAATGCCGTGCTCCCACTGACCACAACCAGCAATCCACGAATAATCCATGAGCGTATGACCATGAACCCGAAGATCTATGGCGTATTCAAGCGTCCACTCGTTTTTTTCATAATTTTTTAGCGCCCATATCTCAACATGCGTACCTGTGACGGCCAAAAACGCCGTATAGCCTCTCAGAATAAATAGATGCATATTCCACCTTGTTTGAATAGGATGGGGAGTGCAATAGAACTCCTCTTTCTTGAAGTCGAAAGAAGTTATACGGCTCTCTTTTAGTTAAAGTAATTGTCGATCCGTTGAAGCAACCAATGCATATCTCCGTTTGCAAATAAATTTGTTGAGCTTAAATCATAAGGAGGAACTGAGCGTATCTTCCGCCACGAGCTTGTGCCCAAGACAAGAACTTGGGCCACGATATTGTTCTGCATATCTGCAGAAACACGAATAATTTTATGGGTGCTGGTTAAATCATCAAATCCCATACCGTACACATCATAACGGTGTTCTACGGGAACTTGGACGTCACTCATCGGGAGTGGTAAAACTTGTCCCTTAAAAGGATCAAATAAGATGCAGAAGTTCCCAACTGTAAAGCAAAACAAGTTGCAGAAAACAAATTGTTGAACGATCCGAGCGTTGAAACCGTCGAATCCAATCTCTGAGACAATTGCATGTTTTCTCTCTTTCAAGGAGGAGTTGCCATCGTATTCGAATAATTGTACTGCCGCTAAAGAAGCCATGCCGATGTTATGAATAAGTATAAGTTGAGGTACTTCAGCAACAGCATTGGTAGCAGTAAGTAACCGCGTGTGAAGTGTAACGAAAGACTGGCCGTCAACTATGTTCTTCATGATCTTGGACAAACGTCGAATGTGATGAAGTGACTTTAAAGGCAGTCTCGAAAGGATGTTGACGAGGATTTCGTAAGGTAAGTCAGTTAACTTGGTGTGCTTCCGGCGTCGTCTCAGTCTAAGCTTCTTCAACCAAGCAATATTGGCTCTCATGATTTCCAACTTCTCCAATCCTACTGAGTCGAATATATTTGTGTTCTTCGTTTACACACACACACATATATAGGGAAATTTTGGATTAGCTTTCTCCTTTTGCATGCTCATTGGCAAGGGAATTCGGAAATAGGAAAGGTAAGAAAATCGGGATGGAATAGGGAAGATATAATTTGTGTCGCAGTTGAAAGAAGAGGAACAAAATCTGTTTTCTAAAAGGAAAGAACAAAAAATCAAAACAGAATCAAGAAACCTTCCTTACATTATTTTCTTTATTTTCTTTGTGTTGAGCCGTTTTGGTTGATCTTTTGTACCCGAAACACATAGGGATTTCAAACTCGATATGCATGGAAAGTTTCGAATCCGAGACGTATAGGAGTTTAGAACCCAAAACGTACACAGAAGTTTCGATTACAAAGAAAGAAAAACAGTTGTATTACGAAATGCGTGTTCACCTTGAAAAATTCTTTTAACCTTGTAGGAAAAAGTGGCTAGCTACTTATCTGCACGTGGAATGGATAATAAAATTAATTAGCCTTTCCTCACAGCAATATTAAGAAGATCAAATTTCTAAATCAAATTTTGTAAACAAAATGATGTGGATGTTGATTATTAAATTATTACTTAAGTATTGATTAACATGCTTATTTTCTATTGTGATACATCACTTTATTTGTAAATTTTGTTTAAAAATTCGGTTTCCCTTCATTAACCTTCCTCACAGGCAAATAGGAATGTACCTGGATGGGGTATCCAGTACAATATTGTGTGTCAATACAGTAAAATTTTAAAAATTAGATAAGGATACGTCAAATAAAATACTATATGTTATTTAAAATATATTTTATATGTTCATATTTCATCATATACGTTAAATCACAAAAGAGTAAAACATTAATGTTTATTTTTAACATAAATAAAATACAATTGTGTCTAGTCTTTTTTATTCTTGAGATTGGTCCTCGCCTCTTTCGGTGCCGGAATGATTATCCTTGCCCTATGGGGCTACATCCATTTGTAAATGTCCCGATCAGTCTACCAACCTCAGAAGAACAACGGAATTTAAAAAAGTCGACGATACTCCAAATAGAGTATCCGATACGTATCGGAAGTATTGCACAGTGTAAGTACGTATCCGACATATACTCACCCCTGTCCAAATTTGAAGTCTCGATGCAACATAATCTATATATTTCTATTATTTGAAGCAAATTAAAAAAAAAAAAAAAAACAGTAAAAATATATAGCAACATAACATCTAACAAAATTGGGAGCTTAATTATTGGAGCTCCAAATTTATTAAAAAACTTCTTCCTACTCTTTCTTCTACTTCAAGAATGTTCTTGTTGATAAATTTACGCTTCCGGTAATGTGCTTCTGATTGAATAGCATTTTTTTTCAAAGTCCATTTGAACTCGCCGGATTCCAAATATTATTAACACCGAACAACATTTGTTCTTGGTCAATCACATTGCCATAGTGTTTGAGGGAAATCAGGCCCGGAGTACAACTGTGAATACTAGGCACAATATTCACCACTGGGCTTCTAGGACGAGGACATAACACTGGATAGGTCACATCTTTGATGGAATCACATCTTACATCGAAAAACAATGCATTTCGGCGAGAATCTAAGAAAAAAATGCCATGCTCCCACTGACCACAACCAGCAATCCTCGAATAATCCTCAAGTGTACGACCATGAACCAGAAGATCTATGGCGTGTTCACGCGTCCACTCTTTTCTTTCATAGTTTTTCAGCATCCATATCTCAACCTGCGTACCTGTGATGGCCATAAATGCCATACATCCACTCAGAATAAATAGGTGCATATTCCGCGTTGATTGAATAGGATGTGGAGTGCAATAGAACTCCTCTTTCTTGAAGTCGAAAGAAATTATACAACTTTCTGTTTTACTTGAGAATTCGTCGACCAGATGAATCAACCAATGCATCTCTCCATTTGCAGATAATAAGCTTGTTGATGTACTTAAAAGATAAGGAGGAACTGAGGGTATCTTCCGCCACGAGCTTGTGCCCAAGACAAGAACTTGGGCCTCCATATTGTTTTGGGTATTTACAGCAACACGAATAATTTTATGGGTGCTGGTTAAATGATCAAATCCCATACCATACACACCATAGCGTTCTTTGGGATCTTGGACTGTCAATCATTGGTAGTGGCAGAACTTCTCCCTTAAAAGGATCAAATAAGACAGCGTACGGGCTTCCATACTTCGATAAGTTCTCAACGGTGAAGAAAAACAAGTTGCAGAAAACAAATTGTCGATTGCTCCAAGGATTGACCGTGAGTCCAATCTCTGAGACAACTGCACGTTTGCTCTTTTCCAAAGAGGAGTTGCCATCGTATTCGAATAATTGTACAGCCGCAAAAGAAGTCACGCCGATGTTATTAATAAGTATAAGTTGAGGTACTTCAGCAACAGCATTGGTAGCAGTAAGTAACTGCGTGTGAAGTGTAACGAAAGACTGGTCGTCAACTATGTTCTTCAAGATCTTGGATAAACGTCGAATGCGATAAAGTGACTTTACAGGTAATCTCGTAAGGATATTGACAAGGATGTCTAAAGATAAGTCAGTTAAGTTGGTGTGTTTCCGGCGTCGTCTCAGTCTAAACTTCTTCAACCAAGCAATATTGGCTTTCATGATTTGCAACATCTCCAGTCTTACAGAGTCGAATATCTTTGTGTTTCTCCTCACTTACACACACACACGTATATGTATAGGGATATTTTGGATTAGCCTTCTCCTTTTGCATGCTAATTGGCATTGGAATTGAGTAACAGGAAAGATATAGTTGAACGAAGAGAAACAAAATCTGTTTTCTAAAAGGAAGGAAAAGATTTGACCAACAAAAAAAGGAAAGAAAAGAATCTAAATAAAATAGTTAAGTTCTTTATTTTCTTTGTGTTGGTCTCTTTTTTTCCCCCTGTTTTTTTTTTTTTTTTTTTTTTTTTTTGCTTCGGCCTGGCCAAAAACATAAGGGAAGTGATTCCACATAATCATTTTTTCTCTTACGCATTCCGTGCATTTCTGATCTTCAAATTGAAATCAAAGAAATCAATGTATATAAATAAATAGAAATGTGCATGAGCAGAATCAAGTACCACGAAGTTTACCAACTATCCATAGTTCAGAAAAACAAAATAATGTCTTTTAAATTCGAGAGTTGTTATTAGTATTCTGTCATCCACTTTGACCTTCGTTCTTTACTTTTTATGTTAGAGAAGAGCGTAAGATGACAATTGGTTCACTAACCAAGTCAAATCCTTTTCATGATTCATGCAATGATCTTAAATCTGGATGTCTGGCTCAATATATGTCTTAATGTCATTGGCATGCATTTGATCATTGTTTTCTAAATTTGTTTGTTTGGAACTTGGAAATAGTTAGCCACTGTTGGTGACACAGTTCCCTCTGCGAGTGTGGTGAACATTTGTCAGTTTCAAAGTGTCTTTCGATACCTTAAGGAAGGCATCAGGCTCTTTAAATAGATGATTGTGATTTTAGGAGTGCTACTGTTGACTTATACCAATAAAAATGTTGAGTTACATTGTTATTTGAATGAAAAGTTGCACCACAAGTAAAACTAAGCTTCTAATCAATGGAATGTGTCATGGATGGGTTATAATCCATGTTAGATCCTTTTCTATGGATTGTTGTAAAAGCAACTTAAACTTGAAAGAAATACAAATTACAAGGGATCGGGCAAACTTCTTTTGCAGTTGAGCAAGTTATTGATAGTTAAATATAAACTAAAAAAGCGCTTTAAATAAATTTTTCTTAAAGAAAATATATACTACAGAGAATGTAGCAGAACTAAAACATAAATACAAGTACAAAGATGCTTTATTAAAAGGGGTTTGGAAAGAAAAGTTCATTTAAAGCCTCTTTAAGATGTAAGACATTTTTTAGTCTCTTAAGATGTAAGAGTTGGAAAGAAACTTTTTTAAGATGTAAGAAACTTTTTAGTTGTAAGAGTTGAGTGTAACTTCTCTTTTGTCTTACTGTTGCCTTATATAGAACTAGCATTCCTTCTAGTTTAAGTCTCCATCTCAAATAATTCTCTCTTCTCCCAATTGTTGATGTGATATTAGACAAGGGATAAGAATTTACATCTCAACTTGAGCTTGTTACTTCGATAAAACTACCAAAATGCCATGACAAAGTACTTTTTCTCTGTAAAAACTAACCAGTTTTTTTTTTTTTTTTTGGAGAACAACTAGGTTAACTAAACTACAGGGACAAAGATTGTCTGCCCTTCCACTTTCGATGTTCTTCCGTGCTCTCTTGTTTGTATAGTCACGGTTAAGCCACATCAACATTTTATATTACTATTCATTTTTGTTTTATTATGTCTATAAAAAAAATAATATAAAATATTAACATGGGTTAATCGTGACCGCATAAAACAACAAAGCATGAAAAGACAATCATTGTCCAAACTATAGAGCGTGATTACCGCTCGCAATGCAACGTGGAAAGCACTTTTGAAACCTCTTAGACCTATTCACCGTGCATTTCTAATAAAAATAAATACTAACATAGAATTTGGGCGAAATAAAGGCAGTTCGGCCTTGGACATGCCTAACTTTATTTTAAGTCCAAATAGCCATGACAAATATTAAGACCATCCAATGTTGGGCTAAAAGCAAATTTTTTGCCCGGAATTTAGCTTTTAGCCCAAAAAACTTTCTGCTCCAACGTCTGGCCTAAAATTTTAGCCCGGGATATTAAGAATGAACTTATCTAATTTTCTTATGATTAATTTAATTTTAAAAATAATAAGAGATAGAAAAATGCATGCTAAAAAAAAAAATTCGATAAATCGTTCTGAAAAAGCACTACATTTCCCAATCCCCAAAGCAGCTGTCAACTTTTACCAATCTTCAACCCGGGCTAACTTCAGAGTTTTCACCACAAACGTGATTTTTTGAAGTAGTAGGGATCAATCACAAAACCGTTGAACAGCTCAAAA